TCAAGTTATTGAATGAACTCAGCGTATGTACGTTCGTCACGGATTCCCCAGCGGATCGGCCAACACCCAGCGTAGCAGACTTCGCGAGTTGGCATGCTCGGGTTCGACAGTCAGGCGTACCCAATTTTAAGTCCGAGCGCATTCCAGTACCCACCAAGCTACACGTTTCCGCATGGCGAGGTCTCCTAGATGGTTTTCATGACACTGCCTTATGTGACTTCCTGGAGTTCGGCTTTCCAGTTAATTACGAGTCATCCGCACAACCGCGAGTGCCGCGCACCAACCACCCCTCGGCTTTGCAGTACTCCAGTCATGTGGACAGGTTCATCAGCACTGAGTTGTCGCACGGAGCAACAATAGGGCCGTTGTCGCCGGCCACGTTCAGTCCCGGTTTGGTGTGCAATCCGTTGCAGACGGTTCCGAAGAAAGCCTCTCTGGATCGTCGCATCGTAGTGGACTTTAGTTACCCGCCCGGGTCTTCAGTTAACGACGGGATCCCCACCGGGACATATCTCGGTCAGCCGCATCGGCTTCGCTACCCCTCCATGGATGATTTCATTGCGTTAGTTGTCAACGCCGGCACAGGCTGCCTCATGTTTAAACGCGACCTTCGGCGCGCATACAGACAGTTGTTCGTGGACCCTGCGGATTATCACCTGGGATTCTCCTGGCGTGGTAACGCTTATGCGGACGTGGTCTGTCCCTTCGGCTTACGTTGTAGCGCACAGGCATGTCAGCGCACGACCGACGCCGTCGCGTTCATATATAATAGATGCGGATTTCGTTGTGTCAACTACTTGGACGATCTCGGCGGCGCAGACTCTCCGCACAGGGCCGAGTTAGCGTTCGATACTTTAGGTCGGCTATTACGGTACCTCGGACTGATCGAGGCGGACGACAAAGCCACGCCGCCGTCCACTCGTATTGTCTTTCTCGGTCGCACAGTGGACTCTATTCGCATGACTATCGAAGTGACACCGGAGAGACTTTCCGACACGTTGGCTGAGTTGGACCGTTGGCGTGTCAAGACCAGCGTTCGC